AATCAAAATATCCATTTCATTTCAGTAATACATCCCATAATTTCATTATACATATTAACGCCTACACCATCTCTGTATCACCTAATGAGAATTTCAAATAATCTCGCCTACTTCCCGAGTCGTCATGTACAAAATCCCTCACTCAGTTTAATATGATTGTAGTGAAATGATAGTTCTGAAAGTCCCACTCTTAATTCTGAGTGGTAAACTTTATTTATAAGAAACATTTGCTTCAGTTCTAAAGTTCTATGGGAAACTGATCAAGTTTAATTGTTTCATAGATGACACCATATGGCAAAGTAATATCCTAATTTGGTGTTCTGATGGGGTGTTCTGATGGGGTGTTCTGATGTTGTGTTCTGATGTTGTGTTCTGATGTGGTGTTCTGATGTTGTGTTCTGATGGTTGTTCTGATGGGGTGTTCTGATGGGGTGTTCTGATGTTGTGTTCTGATGGTTGTTCTGATGTTGTGTTCTGATGGGGTGTTCTGATGTTGTGTTCTGATGTTGTGTTCTGATGGTTGTTCTGATGTTGTGTTCTAATGGGGTGTTCTGATGTTGTGTTCTGATGGGGTGTTCTGACAGGAGTTCTGATGTTGTGTTCTGATGGGGTGTTCTGATGTTGTGTTCTGATGGGGTGTTCTGATGTTGTGTTCTGATGGGGTGTTCTGATGGGGTGTTCTGATGGGTGTTCTGATGTTGTGTTCTGATGGGGTGTTCTGATGTTGTGTTCTGATGGGGTGTTCTGATGTTGTGTTCTGATGGGGTGTTCTGATGGAGTGTTCTGATGAGGTGTTCTGATGGGGTGTTCTGACAGGTGTTCTGATGGGGTGTTCTGATGGGGTGTTCTGATGTTGTGTTCTGATGGTTGTTCTGATGTTGTGTTCTGATGGGGTGTTCTGATGTTGTGTTCTGATGGGGTGTTCTGATGTTGTGTTCTGATGGGGTGTTCTGATGGGGTGTTCTGACAGGAGTTCTGATGGTGTGTTCTGATGGTGTGTTCTGATGGTGTGTTCTGATGGGGTGTTCTGATGTTGTGTTCTGATGTTGTGTTCTGATTAGGTGTTCTGATGGGTGTTCTGATGAGGTGTTCTGATGTGGTGTTCTGATGGGGTGTTCTGACAGGTGTTCTGATGTTGTGTTCTAATGGAGTGTTCTGATGGGGTGTTCTGATGGTGTGTTCTGACAGGTGTTCTGATGGAGTGTTCTGATGGGGTGTTCTGATGGGGTGTTCTGACAGGTGTTCTGATGTTGTGTTCTAATGGGGTGTTCTGATGGGGTGTTCTGATGGGGTGTTCTGATGGGTGTTCTGATGGGGTGTTCTCATGTGGTGTTCTGATGGTTGTTCTGATGTTGTGTTCTGATGTGGTGTTCTGATGGGGTGTTCTGACAGGTGTTCTGATGAGGTGTTCTGATAGGATGTTCTGATGAAGTGTTCTAATTGGGTATTCTTATGTTGTGTTTTAATGCAGTGTTCTGAAGAGTTCTGATAGGGTGTTCAGTATTGTTATCAGCAACACTTTCTCACTAATTCACATGTTAACTCTATTACTGTGAGTAATTTGTGTGAATTCAGGTCCCAGATCTTATTACTTTCCTTTGAAATTATTGGTTTTATTATCAATCACATTACAATGTTAAACATGATTTTGAAAACAAACCCCAATTTGCGGCTGACTTGATTAGAGGTCCCCAGGATTTGACTAAGTTTAATGATCTTCAGTTTGTGATTGATTTTAATGGAGACCTCCAGTTTGTGAACGACTTTAGTGGAGACCTCCAGTTTGTGAACGACTTTAGTGGAGACCTCCAGTTTGTGAACGACTTTAGTGGAGACCTCCAGTTTGTGATTGACTTTAGTGGAGACCTCCAGTTTGTGATTGACTTTAGTGGAGACCTCCAGTTTGTGAACGACTTTAGTGGAGACCTCCAGTTTGTGATTGACTTTAGTGATTGACTTTAGTGGAGACCTCCAGTTTGTGAACAACTTTAGTGGAGACCTCCAGTTTGTGATTGACTTTAGTGGAGACCTCCAGTTTGTTATTGACTTTAGTGGAGACCTCCAGTTTGTGAACAACTTTAGTGGAGACCTCCAGTTTGTGAACGACTTTAGTGGAGACCTCCAGTTTGTGAACGACTTTAGTGGAGACCTCCAGTTTGTGAACGACTTTAGTGGAGACCTCCAGTTTGTGATTGACTTTAGTGGAGACCTCCAGTTTGTGAACAACTTTAGTGGAGACCTCCAGTTTGTGAACGACTTTAGTGGAGACCTCCAGTTTGTGAACGACTTTAGTGGAGACCTCCAGTTTGTGAACGACTTTAGTGGAGACCTCCAGTTTGTGAACGACTTTAGTGGAGACCTCCAGTTTGTGATTGACTTTAGTGGAGACCTCCAGTTTGTGAACGACTTTAGTGGAGACCTCCAGTTTGTGAACAACTTTAGTGGAGACCTCCAGTTTGTGAACGACTTTAGTGGAGACCTCCAGTTTGTGAACGACTTTAGTGGAGACCTCCAGTTTGTGAACGACTTTAGTGGAGACCTCCAGTTTGTGAACGACTTTAGTGGAGACCTCCAGTTTGTGAACAACTTTAGTGGAGACCTCCAGTTTGTGAACGACTTTAGTGGAGACCTCCAGTTTGTGAACGACTTTAGTGGAGACCTCCAGTTTGTGATTGACTTTAGTGGAGACCTCCAGTTTGTGATTGACTTTAGTGGAGACCTCCAGTTTGTGATTGACTTTAGTGGAGACCTCCAGTTTGTGATTGACTTTAGTGGAGACCTCCAGTTTGTGATTGACTTTAGTGGAGACCTCCAGTTTGTTATTGACTTTAGTGGAGACCTCCAGTTTGTGATTGACTTTAGTGGAGACCTCCAGTTTGTGATTGACTTTAGTGGAGACCTCCAGTTTGTGATTGACTTTAGTGGAGACCTCCAGTTTGTGATTGACTTTAGTGGAGACCTCCAGTTTGTGATTGACTTTAGTGGAGACCTCCAGTTTGTGATTGACTTTAGTGGAGACCTCCAGTTTGTGAACAACTTTAGTGGAGACCTCCAGTTTGTGAACAACTTTAGTGGAGACCTCCAGTTTGTGAACAACTTTAGTGGAGACCTCCAGTTTGTGATTGACTTTAGTGGAGACCTCCAGTTTGTGATTTGCTGCTGCTGACAATGATAAGCAGGGGCAGGGGCAGGAGCAGGGGCAGGGGCAGGAGCAGGAGCAGGATCAGGAGCAGGGGCAGGGGCAGGAGCAGGGGCAGGAGCAGGGGCAGGGGCAGGAGCAGGGGCAGGAGCAGGAGCAGGAGCAGGGGCAGGAGAGGCAAGATCAGGAAAAGCAGGAGGGAGCGGGAGCAGGAGTAGGGGCAGGAGGAGTAGGAGCAGAAGGGGCAGGAGGGGCAGGAAAAGGGGGAGAAACTGAAGGAGGAGCAGGAGCAGGAGCAACAGGAGCAATAGCAGGAGGGGCAGGAGAGACAGCAGGAGGGGCAGGAGAGACAGCAGGAGGGACAGGAGAGACAGCAGGAGGGGCAGGAGCAACAGTAGGAGGGGCAGGAGAGACAGCAGGAGGGGCAGGAGCAGGAGGGGCAGGAGCAACAGTAGGAGGGGCAGGAGAGACAGCAGGAGGGGCAGGAGAGACAGCAGGAGGGGCAGGAGAGACAGCAGGAGGGGCAGGAGCACAGCAGGAGGAGGAGGCAGGAGGAGAGACAGCAGAGGAGACAGGCAGGAGCAGGACAGTAGGAGGGGCAGGAGAGACAGAGGAGGGCAGAGAGCAGAGGAGAGACAGCAGGAGGGGCAGGAGCAACAGTAGGAGGGGCAGGAGAGACAGCAGGAGGGGCAGGAGCAACAGTAGGAGGGGCAGGAGAGACAGCAGGAGGGGCAGGAGCAACAGTAGGAGGGGCAGGAGAGACAGCAGGAGGGGCAGGAGAGACAGCAGGAGGGGCAGGAGCAACAGGAGGAGGGGCAGGAGAGACAGCAGGAGGGGCAGGAACAAGAGACAGCAGGGGGGCAGGAGAGACAGCAGGAGGGGCAGGAGCAACAGCAGGAGGGGCAGGAGAGACAGCAGGAAGGGCAGGAGAGACAGCAGGAGGGGCAGGAGAGACAGCAGTAGGGGCAGGAGGGACAGAAGGAGGGGCAGGAGAGACAGCAGGAGGGGCAGGAGCAACAGGAGCAGCAGGAGCAGGAGGGGGGCAGGAGAGACAGCAGGAGGGACAGGAGAGAGCAGGAGGGGGAGGAGGGACAGCAGAGAGACAGAGGAGGAGAGACAGCAGAGGGGCAGGAGGACAGCAGGAGAGACAGCAGGAGGTCAGCAGGCCCAGCAGGGGCAGGAGAGACAGCAGGAGGGGCAGGAGGAAGAGCAGGAGGGGCAGGAGCAACAGCAGGAGGGGCAGAGAGAGACAGACAGGAGGGCAGGAGCAGGAGAGCAGGAGGGGCAGGAGAGACAGCAGGAGGGGCAGGAGCAATAGCAGGAGGGGCAGGAGAGACAGCAGGAGGGGCAGGAGGGAGGAGAGACAGCAGGAAGGGCAGGAGGGCAGGAAGGGCAGGAGAGACAGCAGGAGGGGCAGGAGAGACAGCAGTAGGGGCAGGAGGGACAGGAGGAGGGGCAGGAGAGACAGCAGGAGGGGCAGGAACAATAGTATGAGGGGCAGGAGCAACAACAGGAGAGACAGCAGGAGGGGCAGGAGAGACAGCAGGAGGGGCAGCAGAAGGGGCAGGAGCAACAATAGGTGGGGCAGGAGCAACCGCAGGAGGGGCAGGAGCAACAGCAGGAGGGGCAGGAGCAACAGCAGGAGGGGCAGGAGCAACAGCAGGAGGGGCAGGAGAGACAGCAGGAGGGGCAGGAGCAACAGCAGGAGGGGCAGCAGGGGCAGCAGGAGGGACAGGAGAAACAGCAGGAGGGGCAAGAGGGACAGCAGGAGAGGCAGTAGAGACAGCAGGAGGGGCAGGGCAGGAGAAACAGCAGGAGGGGCATGAGGGACAGTTGAGGGACAGGAGAGACAGCAGGAGGGTCAGGAACAACAGTATGAGGGGCAGGAGCAACAGTATGAGGGGCAGGAGCAACAGCAGGTGGGGCAGGAGCAACAGTATGAGGGGCAGGAGCAACAGCAGGTGGGGCAGGAGAAACAGCAGGCGGGGCAAGAGAGACAGCAGGAGGGGCAGCAGGAGGGACAGGAGAGACAGCAGGAGGGACAGCAGGGACAGCAGGAGGGACAGGACAGACAGCAGGAGGGACAGGAGGGACAGCAGGAGGGACAGGAGAGACAGCAGGAGGGGCAGGAGGGACAGCAGGAGCGTCAGGGGAGACAGTAGGAGGGGCAGGAGAGACAGCAGGAGGGGCAGCAGGGGCAGCAGAAAGAGCAGGAGAGACAGCAGGAGGGACTGGAGCAACAGCAGGAGGGGCAGCAGGAGGGACAGGAGAGACAGAAGGAGGGACAGCAGGAGGGACAGCAGGAGGTACAGCAGGAGGGACAGCAGGATGGTCAGCAGGCCCAGCAGGAGGGACAACAGGAGGGGCAGGAGGGACAGCAGGAGGGGCAGGACATACAGCAGGAGGGGCAGGAACAACAGTAGGGGCAGGAACAATAGCAGGAGGGGCAGTAGAGACAGCAGGAAGGGAAGGAAAAGCCGCATGAGGGGTATGAGGGACAGTAGGAGGGGCAGGAGGGACAGTAGGAGGGGCAGTAGGGACAGAAGGATGGGCAGGAGGGACAGTAGCAGGGGCAGGAGGGACAGCAGGAGGGGCAGGAGGGACGGTAGGTGGGGCAGGAGGGACAGCAGGAGGGGCAGGAGGCACAGTAGGAGGGGCAGGAGGGGCATGAGCAGACATATTTTCCCAGATTTCTAATAAAATGACGCATTATGGCAGTGCTATCTGCAGTTGTTGTGTCATGGCTGTCGTAGCATTTCTTCATCTTCCATCGTTTAAGTTCAGTGAGCATCTTTACACATATGTTATAGGATTTTAAATTAAACCGGTCCCACATGTAAAAACAGCAATGTCACAAGGTCTCACCTTACAGTAGAGATGGCTTTCCTTTAATTTACTCTCTAAATATAGAAATGAATTGGTGTTGAGTTGAATTCGATATTTTGTAAAATACATTAATGTTTAAATTTCTTTTGGACTAGGTGGTGACATTTATTGCGTGACTCATCTCAAAATTTATTTGTTCCATCAAGTTTATCGCAGTATTGACTTTCATTAATAAACATTACTTGTGTACTATAATACAACATCAAATGATTTAATGTAAAATCTAATGTTATATATTGTTACTGTTGTGAAAATAAATTGAAAAACATAACTTGTAATCAACACTGCTGCAGATTGAAATTTTGCTTGGGTTGAGAATTTCATATCTATCAGTCCATAATTCATTTGCCCGGGGGGAAAATGATTATTTTTGACTAAGGTCCACAAGTACATGTTCATAACATACTGAATCAGTCAAATTTTACACATACTGCAGCATTTCATTAATCAGATGGTGCATGCCTGTTTGATGGCTGCCCCAGAGCTCAATCTGCTGATGAGGATCAAATGAGCAGGCTGGCAGAGTACTCTGTCAGTACCAGTAGAGAAATGAGTGCCATTTTAGGCAATTTACTGTCTTGTTACCAATAATTTTGATGGATTTGTCACTGGTTATCCTGGATTGTTAAACACGAAGTGGGAGGCAAGGTCACTGCCAGCAGGCATGTGTTGAAATTCACGTTTTACCATTATCGAAGTTTGTTGTTATTTATTCTACATGCATCAATTAATCAGGTCAATAATTATTAAGTAATGTCAAAAACTATAACATAATTATCATAAATCTAGACAATCTCTGTCCTTAGCTCATTAGATGATTGTTTTTATTTCCCTCCATTTATGAATTTTTCATTTTGCTTTAATGGATTGAGGCTTGCTACTGCAATAAAGGTCATCATTTACTTCAATGTTTCCAATAAGATTCCAACACAGAACCACTGGCTTACTATTCTGATGCACAACTAGCAGTATATTGCAGCTAGTATTTTACCACCATTACACTAAAATGATTTTTTTTACACTCATGTTATAACTGCTGTTGAGGTCCTACACGGATGCTGTTGAGATCCACATGAATGTTGCTGAGATCCCAAAGGGATGTTGCTGAGATCAAACACGGACGCTGTTTCCACAACATTGATTGATCTTCATTTATCCTTTAAAAGTTGGATCTTTTTTCTTCTTTTCTCTCCTTTGTATTTTAATTTTTTCTGTATTTTTTTATTTTCTAAATTATGTGAATTCTTAAAAATTTCTTTTAAGAAATAGAGATAATAATCTTGAAAAATCAAACCCATGATGGTCGCCTGTTATCATTTCTTTTTTTTTTCTGATCAGTCCTAAAATCAAAGTGGTTCAACTAAGGAAAGGGTAAACCCACATATGAAATTTGAGAAGGACTCATCCAGTTATTCTAGGCATGAAATAGTGATAAAAATCTTTCATGATCAGCCATTTTGTTCATTAAACGCTTCACAAGAAATAGCGAGAACAAAATTTCGCTTTGAAAATCTTTGATGGTATTCTACACGCCATCTTGCTTTTCTGATCAATCCTGAAATCACCCAAGCACAACTGGAGAGCAACTTACAATGCATTGCACATCTACACACTAAGGGTAACCCGTACATGAAATTTCAGTATGATTCATCATGACCTTCCCCAGAAAGAGCAAATACAGTCTACAACTGACAAAAAACAACATGGCTGCCGGTCAGTGTTACAAATGAACTTAACACCTGTTCCCAAATAATCAACAGATTTCAAATTAACTGGCATATTTGTTATCAATCATTGCGCTTGAACTTTTCTTCACAAAGCAATGCTGTTATCCAATATGACTGAACCTGGCCAAACTCTGCAGAACAATGTTTTATTATACCCGCAATATCACACACACTCAGTCTTTGCAATGTTACATAATACGTTTAGATTCTTTTATTGTCATCAGTAGCAAACATCCCCAAGTTAGCCACTTTTTTTTTTATTTCTAAACATGAAATTTGTATAAAATGGTTAGAAATACACCCCTGACACTGCTTTGTGATTTTTGTTGTCATGACAACCTTTAAATGCTAAAACAATGAGGGTAACAATGCAATACATTGAGATAATCCAGAAAGACCGACCATGACCTTTGAGAAATCATGTCAATGATTTTTTAAAATTTAGACAAGATGTATGGTGGCTTTATTTGATTGATAAATCCATGAATATTCATAACATACCAGGGAAATAGAATACTACATGTTGGCTACAAGAAATAATCTTTCCAATTTCCTTTTCTGCATTGATTTAGATATTAAATTTGAACAAATTTGACAGCTCTGCACCCCAGCACCACTGTCATAAAATATCATCAGCCCAGCTGTCTTTGGGTAATGAATCAAATAATTTGCTTAAAGTTTTAACAAATTTCATCCCAGAAAAGGGTCAAGGTCATTTATTTGAACAAACTTCATGGATTCCTTCCTGTTGATAAGAAGTTGCTGAAAGGCATAAATTGCCTTGCAGTATATTTTAATTTCATCATCTGTAAGAAATAGTAATATGACAACTGCTAACTGAAGCTGTATTGAATATTATGCATCAACACAATCACTAAAGAATCACATCAATTAGGATTTCACACTGTTAAATGATTTTTCATTTTCTTTCTTTTTCCATTTTTGTGCATTATTTTCCATTGGAAAATTATGTACAGTATGAATAATGATGTCATATTTCCGTTCCAAGCGTACCCAACTCACACCCAACTACATGTTTGAAATAACCCCCCCTCACATCCCACTCCTGGTCACCAGAGGGGCCCCCCTCACACCCCACTCCCTGTTTGAGTAGGCCCCTCTCACACCCCACTCCCTGTTTGAGGAGGCCCCTCTCACACCCCTCTCCCTGTTTGAGGAGGCCTCTCTCACACCCCACTCCCTGTTTGAGGAGGCCCCTCTCACACCCCTCTCCCTGTTTGAGGAAGCCTCTCTCACACCCCACTCCCTGTTTGAGGAGGCCCCTCTCACACCCCATTCCCTGTTCGAGAAGACCCCTCTCACACCCCACTCCCTGTTTGAGGAGGCACCTCTCACACCCCACTCCCTGTTTGAGTAGGCCCCTCTCACACCCCACTCCCTATTTGAGGAGGCCCCCCTCACACCCCACTCCCGGTCACCAGAGGACCCCTCTCACACCCCACTCCCTGTTCGAGGAGGCCCCTCTCACACCCCACTCCCTGTTCCAGCTGAATTCATTTAAAAACCCTTCCAACTAAACATCAGGAAAAAAAAATCTTTTGTTTAAATGGAAAAAGTTAATGTTTGGAGATTTTAAAAAATCTGATTTCTGTGACCTCATGTATGGGTCAAGGTCAAGGTATTTCAGATGTCTTTTTGAACTTCATCCCACAAACTTGTCAACCAAATATGCTAGGTCTGTTGATAAATTTTGATACAGTAGAAGAAGGATTTGCCGCCTGTGACATTGAATTTGTCCAAAGATCATTTTGGCCATGTATGATGAATTAAGGCCAAGTATGATGACTTAAGGCCTTTTAGGTACTCAGCTCATCTACGAATTTTAACATATTTGACACAGTCAGTTTTCAAACACCATTTATTTTTACAAACTTTGTCATGCTTCACCAACCAAGCATCATGAATATCACCGTGGAAACCCAACAGTCTTTTGGGCCAAGTGACCTGAAAATAAATGTACACATGCTTTTCATTTCAAAACTGGTCAGGGTGACCTTTGACCATTTTATCTTAAATGATGACCACCAAAATCTAATCAGGTATGGAACCTGGTCCTAAAATGTCTTGATGTGACATAATCAACTTAATCTCTCCTTGGGATCACAATACTGTGAATATTTGATAGTCTGCACACCTCTGTTCCTTGCTAATCTGTCAACATTACAAGATTATTGGACAGCCAAATTACGACATAAACATTTGTAATAATATTGTGTTTGTTTAGCACATCTATGTCTCTCTGCATGTGGAAATGAATGTATCCATTCATATCAGTGTAAAAAAAAAATGCTTTCAAACCGTTAGGTCTGCATTTTGTCTGTATTTTGTCTTTAAACCTACATATAATACAAATGTAATCTGATATTCATGGCTTTTCTTTTTGTTCATCAACTGAAAATTGGTAACTCTAACATTTTCTTTGAACTTTTAAACTATAAATATTTGTGACAGCTTCGTAAACTCTCTCAGCCCTTAAATGCAAGAAAAAATGGGTGCATCCATCAGCTTAACTGGTCTAATGAATGAGCTCAACGTCTGTTTATCAGTTAATGTCACATTCAAATATCTACCTGACTATAACCTTATTTCCTTTATATTCCATTAATACCCATTAGCGCCTTTGAATATACCCAGACAATGGTCGCTATGGTTACCATCACTGCTTACTTAATTATCACAAGTTTATACTAAGTGCAACAGGATATTTGATCAAAAGATTTTGCAGAGCGACCAACAAATATCTCAGTTTTTGCATGAATATCATTAGGAAAAGATCAATTTTGTTCCCGCAAAGCATTTCTGTATCTAGAAATTGGACCGAAAGCCAAATACAACAGCCGGTGGGATTTCTTTGGGCGCCAATGTAAAAAGAGCAGGAAAAACAAATTAGTGGCCCAAGCAGGAATTGAACCTAGGTCTCCGGTGTTAAAATCAACCGGCTCTACCAACTGAGCCAAAGAAGCATGATTTGATGAGGTTTGAAGAAGCGACCATTCAGTCTCTTGCTGGACACTCTACTGCTCCACTAAAGTGAAATCCAAGGCCAGTAAGGTGACCAGATCTCTTAATTTCTTCATTACTCCCTCCTTCATAAAGTTTTTGAGCCAAAAAACAACAATTCAGGTTCAATATCTCTAAGGAAGCATCTCATCTTCTA